GCTGGGCCTGCTTCCAGCGCCTCAGGGCAACCACCATCAGGGTCCGCCTGGCGGTGGGGCACTTTCAAGGCAAGGCGCGAACCATGCCAGCTGCAAAGGAGGACTCCCGTAGGGGCCACGGCCAAGCTCTGACTCTGCCACGACGGCCTCTGACAAGGTGAAAGGCACCACCAGCTCCGATGCTGCTGAGACCAGGCCGGCTGGGTCGCTCTCCTGGTCTTCTTTCTGTGTCCTCGCCAGCATATTTCGAGACTCTGCGCACTTGCGCTTCTTCTTTTTGTTTGCAGCGCAATTCTCCTGCTGGGCCAGCTTTGTGTACTTCTTTCTCAAGTCCGGCCGATTTTTCCTAAGATGGCAAGCCAGTGCTAAAAGAGGATTAGCTCTTGCACGGGTGCAACAGAAACAGACAACGTTGAGTTGCACGACAGTGCTAACCTGCGCAACCCCTTTCTTTGGAGCATTACGGGCTTCTAGTCCCCCAAAAGTTGCCGTGAAAAGGCTTCAGCGGCCCTACCTTAGACCTGCGGCGGCTGAACCACGACACGCATGTAATGACAAACCCCTGAAACACAAGCTGCTGAACTTTCGCTAGCGAAACAAAAAACGATTGCCATGTGCTTATTTTCTGCAAAGGCGCCACTTTAGGGAGTAGCTATCTCGTCTTTTGAGTGGCGTGTTTCCGTGAATGCGATGCCCTGGTCGGCCTGGACGTGGCGGGCTTACACCCACGGCCTTCATGTCCTGCATGAAGAGGGCGAAAGCAGATGGCTGGGGCACAGTCCCAGCCTCTGCATTTGTTGGTCGCCGCACCATGGTTCTGTTCAAGTTCTGAAGGGTAAGCCGGGCTCTCCCTCTTCATGTTGCCACGTCTGTTTTGTGAGGGGGGTTTCAGGCTTTCTGTCGCTGACCGTTGAGGGAACTATCAAAATAACCACTGTGACCCTTTTGGCTGAAACAATGGAGTCAAGAGTTTTTGGCTGGGCCACTCCTACCACACACAAAGAAATCTGCGCGGTGTGAGTGAGCAAACGCCAAGGCCGGGAAGGCACAGTGGGCTAGAGGACATGTGAACCTGGGCTCTGTCACAAAGAAGACAAAAACAAGCCTTCGTACAACTCATGACTGCTCTTCTTTGATGGCAAACCTCTGATGCATGTGAGACCGCGCAATCTTGCCCTGCCACGCTGCCTTCGAAGCCTGATGAGTTGCGTTGTTCAACTCTCTTGGCAATTTGGCGAGCACCAAATACAAAGTTCAACGAGCTGCTTGCAAAAGAGTAAGCGCCCCGAATGTTCAGCACCAAAACGCCCTGGCTAAAGCGCTCCTGATGTTCAATCAACTCGTGTGACTCAATTCAACAGCTGCGAGGCAGAACTTGGCAAAGTGTGGCAAGCGCAACTTCTGGTACGTCAAATGTGAAACCAATATCTGCTCAGCCTTCTCAAGAGCTGTGAGCCTAGCTCCGACACTATCCGGCATTGAATTTCCTTCGTGCAGCCGGACCAGCGCCAGGCCTGCTTGACGCATTCCACGGCAGCACGCCGACTTCCAACGCTTGTCCATGAGACGCTTCGACCCGCTTGGACATGCTCGGTTTTGTATGTCAATCTCCACCTGCCGTTCTTTGGGTCTGTCCACGCCCGCACAGTTGTGGGAAAAAAGGCGGCGCGTCTGGTCGTCCACAGACGAATTCACCTTCGCACACACCCGCTCGATGTTCTTCAGAAAAGCACTGCTGCCAGACTCGTCCTTCTTCTGCTTTGATCTGCGCACTCCTTCTGTTTTCTCCCACTTGTCAGCCGGGATGATCCTCGTGACAGCATTGTGCATGGCACGAACCTTTGGCCGCAGAGCCTTGGCGGAAAGACTTGGCTTCCTGCTAGTTAGCTCTTTGAGAACCTTGTCTTGGTCACCAGTGAGCAGCGTGTCCCGCACCACGGCCTCCAGCTCCTTGTCGCCTGCTTCGGGCGTCCACTTCTCCGCCTCCGAGCGGTGGCACACTCTGCACACTACTTCTTCAAGAGTCAACCCCGGGTCTATGTTGAGCGTCGACCCCGCCAGGAGCGCTCGAGATATTCCATTCCATATGCTGGAACAGTCTGCGCACCAACACTTCTCCAATTCCAGCAAAGCCGTGACTGCAGTGGAACTCCGCAAGGCCAACGGTCCGCTTGATCTGCAAAGCGATGCCCCTGTTCAAACTGCAGCCACTGGCAGATCGACCTTGGGCAATACAGCACCGAAGTGCATAAAGTTGTTTTTTCAAAGGACGGGGACAAAGTGTTCTGCAGACACTACAAAAAGCTGTCACTTCAGCTAGGGATCTACGTCATGGCGGCCATCCCTGATTGTCATTTCGTAGTGGCGAGTTCTCAAATTGGGCACCCCTCCTGTAGGGAAATGTAGATGCCAATAGTTACTAGAACTGCTCAATTCACCGGGGCGCATCCCATTCGCGCACTACACTGGGTGCGCAAAGCCCCTCCCATCATGCTGGGGCCAAGTAACATCAAATGGCACTGGCATTTGCTGGAACAGGATGCACGCATGCGAGTAGTTTTCGAGTGGAGCGGCAAGAAAACAGCTTCAATGCTGGAAGTTACCAAGCCTGATTTGTCTAAAAGGACCTGTTCCAGCGCAACCCCTCAACATGGCACGCTAAGAAAAGAAAGACACGCACTCATTTCCCGTTAGTATAGGGTCCAAACCATAAAACGAGCCATGCCCCTTATCCAAACTTATTGGTCCAGGCTGGTCCAGGCACCTTTTTTTTGCACAGGCCCTTATTCCCCACCCAGTGAGCCAGGCCAGCCAACTAACACAGCAGGCCAGCGCCCTGCCCATGCTTGGTGATGCTACCTGGGGCCTGTTGATGCTTGCTGGTCGTGCAAATGATAGGTAAAAATGCTGCTGGCCCGCTTAGCTTCAGGCAACCCACCCAACCGCCCGCCCGACCGACCGACCGACCCACCAACCAACCAACCAACCATCCAACCAACCAACCACTCAACCAACCAACCCACCCACCCAACCCACCCAACCCACCCAACCCACCCACACCCGCCCCCACCCCCATCTTCAGCGCACACGTCCAAGGTCTTGGATCAAGGGAGACGACAAGAAATGACCGCTTCGCAAGGCCGAACAGCCCAGCCAGGTCCTTCACTCTTACGAAATGGGCAGTTCCCATTTTGTGGGGCGGGGGGGCTTTCATCGCCTCAAGTGTTTGTTGTTTTGTTTTTTTTTGCCCAGCGGCTGAAAGCTTTAAGAAGTCCTGCAACCTTCGTGGCGACCATCTGGGCTCTTTTTTTTTTTCCGAGGGTTCCCTTTTCACCTTGGCTTGCCGGGGATCTAAAAGAACCCCACCACTTGTGGGGTCCCCCCACGACACATCCCCAAGAGCTTTTGTGTTTCATTGGATTTGTTGAGTGGCACCGTTTTTGGCACTAATGACATGTCGTTTTTCAATTATTATTTGTTGTTTGAACAATGCGACGTTGCTATGATAGCAGGCTGCAAAGGGCACATTGTTTCATGCCAAGGGTTAGAAATACTTACAATCTCCATCCCCTCTTGGTTGCCCTGCAAAACCGCAAAGAACTGGCACCATCAATCAGAAGACATCTTAAACCTTACGGCAACGTGGCTTGTGCAAGGTGTGAGCAACAACAAAATGGGGGGGGGGTATTCACATAAGCCCCATGGATTCCTACATGCCCGGAAGCATTGTAACCTAAGCTACTGTCTCTCCGATATTGTTTTTTTTGGTGTACCACAGCGGTCTTAAGAGCGAGCGAAGATCGAATTGTGAGAAGGACCTTGGGTTGGACGCAACGGGTCCCAGCAAGTTGCTGCTTGAATGCTATACTCCCGATAGAGATGGGGGCTCCCAGCTCCCAGGCCGAACCTGTAACTGGGTCTGTGTTTGCTTTAGGGGAACCCCCCCCCCCCCTCGAAAAAGAAAGAAAGCAACACATCATTTTTTCCCGTTGGTTTCCCATTAAAACCAGGCAACAAATGGGTGCCACCTCAAAAAACACATGCGCAAAAATGGAACCTAGTGTTATCCTCCGGTACCCTCTTTCCCATCAAGGTGGACGTTTTGGTCTACTCTCAGCTTCCGTGATTGTGTGGCTATTGGGTTGGATCTTGCACCTGAACAAAGTATTTTCCAACCTGCAAACAGGTACACTTTTTGGGCAGGGCTAATATAGCCATCAAGCTAGATAAGCATGAAGTCCCTCTTAAGTTTGTTGGATGGCAGGCATCCTCAGCTATTTGAGTGCTATACAACCGTCTTTGCTGAAGGCATCTACAAGGAGATATACAGTTTTGTTTCCCAGAAAGCTAACATAGTACGCCAACATGCTCGCCTACGATCATGACGTGCGGTTTCAGCATACCCCACAACCCCCATGTTCATTTGTGTGGCCCTTACTTTTGCTTCAATACCCAATCATACTGGCGGCAACTGGACGCACTGGGAACGACTGCTTGCAGCAAGGGCTTTGCGTCGAGACTTAGAGTCTTAGAGCCGTCGAGCTGCTGGAGCAGCAGATCACGGAGCCCAAAGGAGCTTCATCTGCAAATGATTGTTTCTGGGTAGGTCAATTTTCAGGAGAGTGCAGCGCCGCGTGCACCCTATATTTATAGATTATACAATCATATACATATATATTGTACATTAGCATTATATTATATATATGTATTATATTGTAATATGTTTTATTGTTGCCCGAACAGGAAACCAACAGCGAATGAGTATTTTGCATTTGTCCTGTTTAGCACCCAGTATGTGGTGAGATCATTAACCTTCCACTTTTTGGGAATATGTGTGTTGTCGCAGTCAACACTAAGTGGAAGTTATTGCACAGGGCCAATAGCGGCCAAGATTCTTGTAGACTGTTGGTCTGGGGAGGCACCTGGTGTCCATTTTTCCGAGAACTCGAGAAACTTTGTCTGCCTCACAAAGCCATAGAAGGGGACCCTCGTTGCACTTCCATTCGGTCAAGATTTTGATATGGTCAGTTTGGTGGGTACATGGGAGAGCTTCCCCCAAAAGGAGGCTCTCTCTCTCGCTAAGTCCCAGTTGCCCAGTGGTGCTTATTTTTCCCTTTAACGTCAACCAACCAAAAAAGGATGCCCTTTTTTGCCATGGCCACTGGGCATCTGAGAAGTTTCTCATCTCGATAAAGGGTAGCAAGATTTGACATCGCATGTCGATCCATGCATGCGTGTGTAAGGAGTCAACGTCTGGATGGATGTAAACTGAGAACCAGCTCACCGAGCCATAGATGAGCCGAGCTCACCATCAATTCGACAACAATGATGTTAGGTTTTGGATTGATGGTAGTTTGCCTACAAACTCCTATTTGTGTGTACACTCCCTGAGGCTAACAAGGAAGCTCCCAGAAGGCCTCTGCAAATAGAACCAAGTCTTCCAAAGGGTTCTGGGAGCTTCCATGTTAGTCTGGAGCCATAGCCTGGGGCAATGCGGAAAAAAGCCAATACGCCAGGGCTTGATACCAAACAAAATCTGGACCCTGAAGAGACCCTTCCCCATGCATGGGCAACTTTCCAAGCGATTTCAGGCTTCACCTTCCCCCAACAATTGGCGCCCTTTTTTGACCCTTTCTTTTTTGGTTGGGAGGGTTCAACCCTACGTAAAATAAACTACAGAGAAAAGGAAGTACCCTTATTCTAACCTCTCAAATCTGGAGGACCCAGTCACAATATGTTGTATCATTTGTGTAACTGTGGGGAAATCGGCATCTCACGCCTGATATGCGAATCTGCCCTGGCTTCAGGGTTACGTTGCCTTGGTTTGGCGGCCGTGCCTTCTTCTTTTCGTGCTTTTTTTTTTGGAGCAGAAGACTAGGCATGTCAAAGCAAAGAACTGGGGCGGCACCGGTTTTGATCGGTTTGTCTTAACCCAGATGTTGCTTTACGGTGTTAAGGGCCATGAAAGGGAGCCACAGATGTCCATGCGCCATGATCACGTGTTTTCTCTCTCCCACTCCTTGAGTTAGCTACCATGGCAGGCCAAAAAAGTGCCCTTTGAACTGCTCGTGGTTTCCCCAGATACCTCAATGGCAACTGGATCTTCATTCGACGAACATAGAGCGAATCTCCAGGTCACTTCTCCAAAGCGGCTGCCTAAGACTCGAAGCGCCAAATGCATCTCGTGGCAAATTATAGCGACCTCACAAAGGGGGTTTGCGACCGAAAACCTTTGGCTCCTGCCAGCACCCGGGCCTGCTTTTCCCATCTGTTCCCCATGTCCAGAATCGCAAGTGTCTCCAAAAGCAGTGGTTGGGACCTGGGTGCTGCTTGGGAACCCTGGCTTGGTGAAGCATCTCAATTCACCTAGGTCTGGAATTTTTCTCGGGCGCAGGGCGACAATTCGAGTGTCGCGGTTGGTCGAGCGATGAGCCGTCAAAGTGTCCTGGGGTGGGCAAATTCTTTGCTGAGCTCCCCGACTCAAGGATGAAACCAACGGTTCAGCCCAATGAAGGCCTTTGTAGCTTAGTGAGTACGTTCCCCCAGTGATTCCATTTCCCTGTATAGTACCCAACAAAAACCACCCGAGATAAAAACCAAGAGGAACCTGGCTTGTTACCCAGCATAGGGGCTTGCCTGGGATTTGGGTTCTAAATGTCGGATTTTTGGGGGCTTGCGCAGAGGTTTCAGTTTGACCATGAGATGATTGTGTGAACCTGACAGGAAAGTAAGGCACTTTTGGGCGATGACTTGGTGAATTACTCAGCTTTCAGAGCACCCCTGATGGAAAGGGTGGTTTTGCCTCGAGGCTTGGTGTTTGGTAAAGGGAGACCAAAGGCAAAAGCACAATTGTCTGGTGGACATCATAATTCAGTGGGGATTAACAAAGCACATTTTCTCTGGTGGACATCAGAATTCAGTGGGGATTAACAAAAGCACATATATATTTTTCGGGTGGACATCAGAATTCAGTGGGGATTAACAAAAACACATTTTTTCTGGTGGACATCAGAATTCAGCGGGGATCAATGTCCACTACCATAGCAACATCATAGCCATCTAACAATTACTCAGCATGTTAGCAAA